CTGGGAATTGAAGTCCACACAAACTTAAAGTTGTTGAAGTTGAGAAATATTGATTAGGCAGATGCATTGGACATAGACATATACAAACACACAAACAATTCATCTGCAACCTCATCAAGAGGTGTCTCCTATTCTTTGTCAAATTCTGTGCACAGAAAATGAGTCCAGAATAGGAATGCTGAGGAGACTGTGATAAAAGAATTATTCTTGAAAAGGATGTGAGTCAACAAAAGTATTCCTTAGAATGCAGATGCCCCTAACCCTTTTCTTACAGGCTGGCAGAGCCTTAATTCACTTCCAGAGGACATGATTGGCAATTTGTTCTCCATATGGTAGCGGATAAGATGATCCACACTGTCGAATGTATGATCTTTGGTTCTAACCTGGGGGGAAAAAGAGCATTCAAGAATTTAGTAAGTAAGAGGTCTTCAAATTCTGCAATATGGTCACCCCCACTAAATGGTAGCATGAATTTGTGCTAAAAGAAGTTAAGGGTTTCGTTGGTGGTCTTCAAACTTGACAGCTTTAAGACTTGTGGACTTCAACTCCCAGAATTCCTCCTCCAGTCATGTTAGCTCAGGAATTCTGGGACTTGAAGTCCACAAGTCTTAAACTTGCCAAGTTTGAAGGCCCCTGTAAAGCTAGCACTGTTACCTAGTTGGGAAATGAAACATCTGCAAGAAAACAACCAAACTCAGAGAGTACCAAGGACCAGGGCTGGGATTCTACCAGTTCGCACCTATTCGCTAAACCGGTTATTAACATTCTAAGCAGTTGGGAGAACCGGTTGTTAGAAGAAATTACTGGCCTAATCCTGTAAGGAAGGCAGGAAGGAAACATTCTGGTGTTGCTTACAGAAACTGCCTCTCCGTTAACCCTTATTACATTCTTGGCAGGACTAGACTTCCTGTCTCAGGAACCTCTTTGGAGTTTTTTCCCCTACTTTGCTTGTGTGGAGTGACCATTCAAAGTTACAATGGCACTGAAAAAAGTGACTTATGACCATTTTTCACACTTACAACTGTTGCAGCATCCCCACAGTCATGAGAGGCCAAGGCGAGTAGATGCGTGTCTCGATGTGAGTGATATTGAGTTGGCCACACCCAGCCAGTCACATGACCACCAAGCCATGCCCACCAACTAAGCCACGCCCATAGAACCAGTTGTTAAAAAAATTGAATCCCACCCCTACCAAGGACCCCTTCATTTCAACCCCCGAGTTACAACTATTCTCCTTTTTGGGGACCCTCGTCTCAATTGTTCCTACCTTGCCTTCAGGATCCACCAACAAGAGATGCTTCACTTGTCCTCCTTGCAGCCCACTCAGGACGTATTGGCCAGGTGACGTTGTACTCTCCCGTACCAGAAAGTCTCCATTGTTTCTCAAGAGATTCTCAGCTTGTCTCCTGGATATCTTCCCATGATAACATTCTTCATTCCAAAGAGCCGTCTTTGCCTCTGTGATGCATCTGAGGCCTGCCATGTCCCCGCATCCTTTCTGCTCTACAGTTTCCAAGGCTTCTGAAAATGAAACAGAAGATATAAGGTAAAGGTTCCCCTCACACATACGTGCTAGTCGTTTCCGGGTCTAGGGTGCAGTGCTCATCTCCATTACAAAGCCGAAGAGCCAGCGGTGTCCGAAGACATCTCCGTGGTCATGTGGCCAGCATGACTAAACACTGAAGGCGCATGGAACGCTGTTACCTTCCCACCAAAGTGGTCCCTATTTTTCTACTTGCATTTTTTTACATGCTTTCAAACTGCTAGGTTGGCAGAAGTTGGGACAAGTAACGGGAGCTCACTCCGTTACACGGCGCTAGGGATTCGAACCGCCGAACTGCCGACCTTTCTGATCAACAAGCTCAGCGTGTTAGCCACTGAGCCACCGCATCGCACCATAGAAGATATAGAGACTGTCTATTTCCAGTGTATGAGTTCACCCGTCCTAAGGGAGTGGGGTTTATGGCTTGAATAAGCCACAACTGTCACAATGTACACAATAGACTGTACCCACAGACCTAAAAAGAGCAGAGCGTCACAATCCTTTAGCTCAGGGGGTTTCCAAATTTGGCAACTTTTAAGACTTCAATTCCCAGAATTCCTCAGCCAGCCATGAGTGAGTCACTAGCATGGATGATGTTACCTAGTTTGAAACGTTTGCAAGAAAAGCACCAAGCTCAGAGAGCACCAAGGACCCCTCATTTCAACCCAGAGCTACAAATATTCTTCTTTATTTGGTATAGATCCTGCTTTGGCTGTAGTTTTTATTCATTTTAAAGCTGGCACGACAGCAGTTTTCCAATACTTGATAGAATGTCAGGGAGAAGTAGATTTATGGATGTGGGTTTATGGATAGGATGAGAACCAATGGATGTTAGCTTTATGGAAGGAGGCATCAATCTATTGTTATTCTGTTATAGAACAGTTTGGCTCCTGCAGTCATGAGCACTCCGTCACTGCAGCTTTCAAAGGCTGGAGAGGCACTTGATTCCTGCCCTGAGCAGCAGGTCTGATTAAAAGATCTAAATCTCTTCCAGCTTTTATGATTCAAGACTTTCAAGAAGAGATTGGACTTTGTCAGAAATGGTGTAGGGTCTCCTGCTTGGGCAGGGGGTGGGGTTGGACTAGATGACCTATAAGTTCCCTTCAAACTCTGTTGATTTGTTAGTGACAATCTGTTAGGTTCTATTCCATGATCTTGACCCTGCCCTCGGGAGCGAAAGCTTAGCATTGCTTCAAACAATGCTGAATTCCTTTTTAACGTTCCTGTTTCTTCTCAAAGATGCAAGGAACAGATTTGCAAAAAAAAAAAAAGAGAGAGAAACGGGCTTGAATGAGGAACTGGACTTGTGGAACTCTGTTCTGGAAGGAGGGATTCTGGCCATACCTGATGTAGCTTGAAAGTTTTGAGTATTGATATATCGAGGGTCATCAAAAAGATCCACTTTGCTGCTAATTTTCAGCAATGGAGCATCTTGATTTGCTGGCTGAGTTGATTTGCTGACATCTGCAATTAATCATCACAAGGAGATCTTTCTTTAGCTTTTCCCCCCCAAAAAGCAACCCCAAAAAACTTATCCAACAGTACAAAATACTATCAAGTTAACCAAATTAATGTGAGTTATCCCACCAAAAAAGATAAGGATGTCTGATATCCTAGTATCTTCAAAAATCCTATGTCTAACATGCTGTCTGTCTTAAAGAAACTCACTGTTAAGGAAAATATCTAAACCACCCCATTCTGACTTAAATACAATTACTATAATGTGATCAATATCAATCAGAATAGATCTGGAAGGGACTTTTGAGGTCTTCTAGTCCAAGCCCCTACTCAAGAAGGAGAAGACCCTGTGTTACAGACAGGTGGCTGTCCAGTCTTTACTTAAAAATCTCCAATGATGAAGTGCACCTACAATTTGTGGTGGCAAGCTGTTCCACTGGTTAATTGTCCTCACTGATAGGAAGTTTCTCCTCAATTCCAGGTTGCTTCTCTCCTTGGATAGTTTTGATCCATCGTTTCCTGTCCTGCCTTCCTTGGTGCTTTGGAAAATAAATTGATCCCCTCCTCTTTGTGACAGGCTCTCAAATACTGGAATACTGCTATCAAGTCACCTCCTAGTCATTTTCTCTCTCTCTAGACTAGCTGTAACCAATTCCTGCAACCATTCTTGATATGTTTTTGTTTCCAGGCCCTTAATTGTCTTAGTTGCTCTTCTTTGCACTTTTTTCCCCCAAAATATCAACATCTTTTTTTATAATGTGGTGAATTCTAATCACACTGAAAAGTCTGATTGAAAAGTGTGGACTGCATTAGCATGGATAAGAACATGGAAAAAAGAATATGTAAACAATCAGGGGTGGGATTCAAATTTTTAACAACCGGTTCTGTGGGCGTGGCTTAGTTGGTGGGTGTGGCTTGGTGGTCATGTGACTGGCTGAGAGTGGCCAACTCAATATCACTCACATCGAGGCACGCATCTCCTCGCCTGGCCTCTCATGACTGTGGGGATGCTGCAATAGTCGTAAGTGTGAAAAATGGTCATAAGTCACTTTTTTCAGTGCCATTGTAACTTTGAATGGTCACTCCACACAAGCAAAGTACCAGCAAAGGAGTGGAAAAAAACTCCAGAGAAGTTCCTGAGACAGGAAGTCTAGTCCTGCCCAGAATGTAATAAGGGTTAACGGAGAGGCAGTTTCTGTAAGCAACAGCAGAATGTTTCCTTCCTGCCTTCCTTACAGGATTAGGCCAATAATTTCTTCTAACAACCGGTTCTCTGAACTACTTAGAATGTTAACAACTGGTTCTAGCAAATAGGTGCGAACTGGTAGAATTCCACCCCTGTAAACAGGGCTAATGAAATCATGATTTGGAGGTAGAGGGAAGCATTTTACTTCTTCTCTTTCTCCTTCTTCCTTACAGATCCTTACAAATGCTTTACTTTCTATTGAACTCCATCCTGAGGAAATCTCAGGCGGCCTCAAAAAGAAGTCTTGGGGTCCACAAGTCTTGACTATTCCCAAGAAGTCCCCATGTTCTTCCATCTTTGATGGCTCCTGGGAGACTCTTTTGGTGGCTTATTGAACCAGATCAAAATGACAATACCTATTCTAGAATGTGAAGATGTATAAAACAAGCTCTCAGGCTATTATCAGTTGAACAGAATAGCATCCAATCTTTATCTTTGCTACTTCTCTTTGCCTGTAATTTAGCCCCAGGCACCCTCAATGAAGGATGGCTCATTTCACTTGGTATCCCCCTATATTAGCTCTTTAGTTTAGTTTAGTTTAGTTTAGTTTAGTTTAGTTTAGTTTAGTTTAATTTAGGTTAGGTTAGGTTAGGTTAGGTTAGGTTAGGTTACTTTACTATACTATACTTTACTTTACTTTACTTTACTTTACTTTACTTTACTTTACTTTACTTTATTTCACTTCACTTCACTTCACTTCACTTCACTTCACTTCACTTCACTTTTACTTTACTTTACTTTTTACTTTACTATACTATACTAACTATACTATACTATACTATACTATACTATACTATACTATACTATACTATACTATACTATACTATACTTTACTTTATTGTCATTGCACCTCGTACAACGAAATCGAACACCATCTTCAGTGCACATCATGACCATGGAAATAAACACAAACACACATCCTTCACACTCCACACACTGAACCCCCCCCCCCGCCCCCGCACCAATACTGCACTATACAGCAGAATTCAAAAGAGCTACTGCCCTGGGATAGAAGCTGTTTTTCAGCCTATTTGTCCTGGTTTTTATTATCGTGTACTGACTGCCAGATGGTAATAGTTCAAAAAAAGGGTTCCCAGGATGAGATGGATCTTTGAAAATGTTTTAAACTTTGTTAAGGCAGCGGGAGCTATAAAGCTCTTCCAAAGAGGGGAGAGGGTTCTTGGGCAAGATGGAGGCAATTTTGGATTACTAACAGATTAAGAATGGATTCTTTGATTTCCTTCACCAAGACAGGAAGGCAGGAATCAGCTCTGTGTAAGATACAGGCAACCCACCTACTGCTCGTTGCTCATCTGGACAGTTTTCATAAAGCTGCTTACAACTGGGACTATCATCCTAAAAAAAAAAAAAAAGGAAAAAAGAAATACAGAAACAAATTACTATGAGGAATTCTCAGCAGATTCAGACTCTAAACAGTGGTAAGGGATTAACTCAATAATTCAGGCTGATTATTCCAGAAGGCATAACATCCATTCTAATGTAAACCCGGTGTAATGCTCAATGATGCTGATCACACATATGCTTACTCCACATAGTTGCTGCTCAGTCTGGATGGGCCGGTTGATCCTTTCTTCTGGGATTATCTTCAGTCTGACATCTGACAGCCCACCTACAGGAGGTTCCTTCCCAGGAATTTCATTATAGTATCCACAGTCCTCCTTCTCTTGAATATTCCAGGTAGATCCATCAAGACTCACCCCTTCTCTGTGCAAAAAACAAGCAACAGCTGAAATATAAAACTTTGGCAGCACCACATTAAATCAGAGGGTGGTTTATTATTTCTGAGGGGTCTTTGGTGGTCTCTGAGCTAATCTGCTTTCCAGCTCTGTTCTCCTGTGAAGACCCAGCCAATCAGCTGGGACTCAATGGGAGGTGGAGAATAGATGGGGGCGGGGCCAGTCAGAGGTAGCATTTGTCGGTCCTCCAAACTACTCAAAATTTCTGCTCCCGGTTCTCCAGAACTGGTCAGAACCGCTTGAATACCACTTCTGGTCTGCAAGGAAACAACCAAGCTCAGACAGCACCCGGGATCCCTCATTTCAAACCTGAGCTACAAATGTCCTCCTTTAATATTTCTGTTCTCCATTCCTATACAAAGGCTCAAAAAAGAAAAGAACAATCTAGACAAATGACTACAAAAACAGCACAGGAAAAGAAACATTAGAATTTTAAAAACTAAACTCAGGTTTTAAAAAGCAGCTGGTTAAAGAAGTAAGGAAGCCAGTCATCACACTGGACTACTAAAAGCCTTCTCCATCTTTGGAACTGTCAAGACGTCTAAACTTGATCGTGATTGAACTGAGACCCCTTCACATCTTCTGCCAATAATAATAAAAATGGTGATCTATGAGCTACTTCTCAAAGGCTGCTGGGAGAACCCTGGAGGAGGGATTCTTTTGTGAAATTTGGAGAGAGAGAAAAAACAAGGGTGAGGATAAGGGTAGGGATATATATGCCTATATATTCCTCACCCTTGTTCCCCCCCTCCCCAAATTTAATAAGAGAATCTCTCCTCCAGGGTTCTCCCAGCAGCCTTTGAGAAATAGCTCACCATTTTTTAAATTTATTTTTTCATTGGAACAAGTGACAAAAAAATATGTGCCTAAGGGACGCGGTGGCTCAGTGGCTAAGACGCTGAGCTTGTCGATCAGAAAGGTCAGCAGTTCGGCGTTTCGAATCCCCAGTGCCGCGTAACAGAGTGAGCTCCCGTTACTTGTCCCAGCTTCTGCCAACCTGGCAGTTTGAAAGCATGTCAAAAATGCAAGTAGGAAAATCGGGACCACTTTGGTGGGAAGGTAACAGCGTTCCGTGCACCTTTGGCATTTAGTCATGCCAGACACATGACCACGGAGACGTCTTCAGACAGTGCTGGCTCTTCGGCTTTGTAAAGGAGATGAGAACCGCCCCCCAGAGCCAGAAATGACTAGCACACATGTGCGAGGGGAACCTTTACCTAAACATGCCTCTCCCCACCCCTCTTTATAGTATGTCTTCTGAATTAGAACAACTTGTGTTGAGTCTTGATTTTTAATTTAGAAGAACATAATTTGATGAACAGACAGGAACAGGAAAGAAATGTGGGGCCATGCCGCTTGATTAGGAGAACATGACTCAAGAATTTAATTATGTGATTCACAGGAACTGAAAAAGACATTTTCCATCTGTTCATCTCCTGGGGCAGCGGGATCAACATTGAATATACAGTATGAGTTTTATTTGCCTTCTCCAGCCTGGTGCCCTCCAATTGTCTTCGGTTTTATGTACCAAAGGCCTATACCCGTGATGGCGAACCTGTGGCACGCAGAGCCATTTGTGTGTGCATGCGAGTTCCAGCCAAACCTACCTGCACTGTGCATGTGCACACCTCCCAGCTTATTTGTGGACCATTTGAGGCCGTTTTTGCCCTCCTTGAGGCTTGAGCGAAGCCTTGCAGCCCCGGGAGGCCAAAAAACGGGCCTTCCGGAAATACCAGAAGTGACGAAACGGGCCCATTTTCAGCCTCCCGGGGCTGCAGAGACTTCCCTTGAGCTCCGGGAGGGCGAAAACAGCCTCAAACAAGCCAAAAACTCAGCTGGGAGGTGCACACATGCACAGTGCAGGTAAGGGGGTGGGGCAGGGATGTTGCACATGCATTGCATTGTGGGTGCCGGTGTGCGCATGCTTTCGGCACACCACAACAAAGAGGTTCACCATCCCTGGCCTATACTGCTCAGACAATATGAATGCTGCAATCCAACACAACTGGACTCTTAAGATGGAAAGTAAATCTGAACCGGCTAGCAAAACATGAAGGAATACCCTGCACAGCAAGTAACACCTTTCACGGTACGATGGCAAGACATTCCTTTTAATTCGAAAATCTGTAATTTGTTTCCCTTTCGGAATCGTAAGGTATCATTAGCATCCTAATTTAATGAAACACGGTTGAATAAATGTGAATTTACTTTTTGACCTAGCTTGCTGTTCTTCCTCCTGTCTCCAAGGCCGTTCCCACATTAGATAGTCCTCGATTTAGGATTACAATTGAGCCCCAAATTTCTGTTGTTAAGCGAGACAGTTGAGTTTTGCCACATTTTATGGCCTTTTTGCCCCAACTGTTAAGTGAATCACTTCAGTTGTTACGTGAGTTACACAATTGCTATGAGAATCTGGCTTCCCCGTTGACTTCACTTGTCAGAAGGTCACAAATGGAGATCACGTAACCGTCATAAATACATGCATCTAAATACTAATCACATGACCATGGAGATGCTGTAACGGTCGTAAGCGTGAAAAACGATCGTGGGTCGCTTTTTAAAGTGACATTGTTATTTTGAACCAGTGGTGAGATTCAAATTTTTTTACTACCAGTTCTGTGGGCGTGGCTTGGTGGGGGTGGCTTGGAGGGCGTGGCTTGGAGGGCATGGCTTGGTGGGCATGGCAGGGGAAGGTTACTTTAAAATCCCCATTCCCTCCCCACCCCACTAACCTGCTGTACAGCTCCGTTCTCCCATGCAGGGCAACAAAAGAAGACCCAGCCAATCAGCTGGGACTCGGGAGGCGGAGAATAGATGGGGGCGGGGCCAGTCAGAGGTGGGATTTGCCGGTTCTACAAACTACTTAAAATTTTCGCTACCGGTTCTCCAGAACCTGTCAGAACCTGCTGAATCCAACCTCTGCTTTGAACAGTCACTAAATGAATGGTTGTAACTCAAGGGTTACCTGACCAGGTTCCAGCTGCCTTCCGAAAGCCTTTGCTTACCTTTCTTTGGAAGCAATCAAAGCAGGAGGAGTTTTCAAGTATTGCTTGAACCGAAGTTCAAAAGCTTGTCCGATGGTATTGATGAGCTCTTGAGCTATTCCAGAGGGACATTCCAAAATATGGCATGCTGAAAAAATAAAAGCCAGAAAGAAAAGGGATGTGAAAGAAACACAGGTAGTCCTCGACTTACGACCACATGATGGGCCCCAAAATTTCTGTCACTAAGCAAGGCATTTGTTAAGTGAGTTTTGCTCCATTTTCGCACCTTTCTTGCCCCATTTTTTAAGTGAGTCCCTGCAGTTGATAGGTATTGTGGTTTGCCGGCAGCAGGCGCGGACGGCAGAGGTCTCTGATAGCGAGGACTCAGACACGGGGCCTGTGGGTGATGCAGGGATGGGGCCAGGACTATCGGAGAGTGGCGTGCTGCCTTCGGAGAGCTTGTGGAGGCTTGTAGCAGTGACTCAGAGGACCCCGGGAAGCCTGTGCCCAGTGTATGTGTGCGCAGGACTGCTCGAAGAAAAGAGCAGCTGAAGCAGCAAGGGCGACTTGGGAGTAAGGCTGCAAGGTGATGGCCCCTCCCATAAGGGATAAAAGCCAGCCCTCGGGGATGGGTTCTTTGCAGGAAGCAAAGAAGTTCTTTAGACTCATAATCCTCGTTGAAGCCCTGCTTAGGCAGGTTTGTTTTTGAAACTACTGTCGGTGGATATTTAATCAGTAATTAATCTTCTGTTCTTGGCAGCCCTTTGCAACCTTGAAAGGGCTTGCTTTTGCTATTGGACAATTAGATTTAAATATTTTTTGGCTGGGAATGCACTGAATTCCCAGCACTGCATTAAAAAAGGTTTGCTTTTATACACAGTTTGTGGTTGCTTCATTTGAACAAGGCTTGGGTCAGAACAATAAGTTAGTAACATGGTTGTTAAGTGAATCTGGTTTCCCCGTTGACTTTGCTATCAGAAGGTCGCAAAAGGGGATCATGTGATCCCTGGGACACTGCAATTGTCATAAAGATGAGTCGGTTGTCAAGCGTCTGTCATGTGATCGGTTTTTGAGCCCTTGGCAACAGGCTCACCTTTACCAATGCTTGTGGCATCCCATTATCACCATGATTTTTGAGGGGTTTTGCCATTTCCCACCATTTCTCACAAAAAACGTTCATTGGATAAAATGGATTTGCTTAACAACTGTGGTGTTTGTTCGCCTGAGGGGAATCCGTTGAACAACTACTATGACTTACAATTATAATGCCAGGCTCAATTAAATTTTTTTAAAAATCAGGGGACTACCTGTATTTTTAGAATCACAACCCAACAGTCTCAATTTACTTTTTCCTTATTTATTTATTTTTTACTATATTTTGGATTAAAAGCAGGGCTTGTAGGATCAGGGCAATTAAAATCTAATTCATAGGAAGGGCAACTGTTTGAAAAGGCTGCAGCATAGAATGTTCCAGAGACTGTACCATCATGCCTTTGGCTTGCAAGAATCGAATTTTGTTAGTTTGCATAGTTTTGCTGGCCTGTGAAGAACGTTATGTTGAAATTTGATCGAGACTTCCTTCCTTCCTAGCCACACTTCCACATCTTAGCCATCAGAGGGCACTTTTATAACAATAAATTAGGAAGAATGACTGCAAATAGGTTACAGGTAAAGCTTTGTTTTTTAATTACTATTATTTAAATAAGAAAATTCCCCACTTAATTCATACCCAGGAGATAAAGATAGAGAAGAAATTAAATATTTTTAAAAAATAATTTTCCCAATGAAAAGATTGGGAATTCGTCCCCAGATTTTTCTCAAGAAATTATTGGGTTTACCTCTTTGATTAACAGGATCTTTAGCAACATAGGCGACATAATCTGTAGTATCCTAAAATACACACAAAACAAAAAGGAACAAGCATTTTGAATATTAATGTTGTTTCATATTTCAAAATAACCTATTCCCTTGACTACTAGGTTTCAGTGGTCAATAAAAGGAGGGAGTTTATAAAAAGATAACAAAAAATTAAAATAAGAGAATGACTGAGCTAAGAGATAAATGATTTCCACTCTGAGCATCATTTTCTTCAATATGCTGCCTTCTATCATTGAAACGTATTCCAAATTTGATGAGATTCAGCCCTGCCACTGATTCTGTGTTAGCCCCCATTCATTTCCAGCATGTCCTTCAGTTGAAACCTCTATACTTACTGGATCCCCTCCAGAGGCAAATGAAATGGACTGCATATGATGGTTTGCAATAATCTGGGAAGGAAAAAGAAGAAATCTGTGAAGTCCATGTATAGCTCATCCAGAAACGATTGGAAAATTATCTCTGCAAAGCTCATCATATTGAGAATTCATAAATTCTGCTTATAGACCACCGTAGGTTGTCAGATAAAAGCACCCAAAAGCAAAGAAGAAAGACCAAATGCTCAGAACAGACAAATTCCTCCAACAGCCATATATCTCCAGCTTCTGGCTATTATATGAAACCCAAAGTCTCCATCTGCGCACCCCTGAAAGATCCTATAGAGATGCATATAATCCCTGGCCAGAAAGTTGAAGACTTGTGGCCTCCAGTTCCCAGAATTCCCCAGCCAACATGGCTGGTTGAAGAATTATGGGAGTTGAAGGCCACAAGTCTTAAAGTTGTCGAGGTTAGAGACCCCTAGATTACGATACTGGACTAGAAACTGAGAGAAGTGAGTTTTAGTGCCACCTGAGGCACCAAGCCAGGTGGCTGACCTTGGGCCAGTCACTTTCTGTCAGTCCTAGGAAGCAGACATAAGACAAATCACTCCCCAAAAGCCTTGCCCCAAAACTTCAGGGACCAGTTCAGATAGTTGCTGGGAGTCAACACTACTCAAAGATAGGAAAAAAACAAATTAACTTTGTTAGGGTATTGCAACAGAGTGCATTCAAAAGCAAAATAATTCATGACAAGGTATAGCCAAACATTAGATCTGCAGCTCGTGCTGCTTGAATCATAGCATGAAGGAGCAACCCTACCTGATGGCTGTCGGAGTTCAATAAAGTAAGACTGGTTGTTGAGATGGTCAGTTTTATATGCATGCCAGAAAACTGAAGATTGCTTTTGCCAAGCACAGGAGAAAGAAATTTAGCGGGAGGCTGTAAAGACAAGCAGAATGTTGATTTCTTATTTCATATTTCACCTAACAGCAGTCCATGGTTTCACTTACAGATGTTTGTTACAAGGCTCTTGTCAGGATTCCGGCAGTTACCCCCATTTAAATCATGAGTCTCGAGCCAAACTTCCAAAACTCAAAAAGGATTTATTGAGAGTTAATATGCCGGCACTGCCTGGGTGTAGCCTACTCTGAGACAATCATTCATTGTCACCCTTGACCCTGGTTTTTGCAAGCTGCTGCACTGCTCCCCCCTCCCTTTCTGTTGACAACTCCAAAAAGACCAGAGAAATATTTTATGAGTTGATAGCTCCTGCCAGAAATGTCCTGGGACACCCTCAGTCAAGGGTCTTCAAACTTGGCAAGTTTAAGGCTTGTGGACTTCAACTCCCAGAATTCCTGAGCTAACATGACTGGAGGAGGAATTCTGGGAGTTGAAATCCACAAGTCTTAAAGCTGTCAAGTTTAAAGACCCCCTGATATCTATCTATCTATCTATCTATCTATCTATCTATCTATCTATCTATCTATCTATCTATCATCTATCTATCTATCTATCTATCTATCTATCTATCATCTATCATCATCATCATCATCTGTCTCTAATCAATATCTATCTGTTAATCATTTATCTATATCTATCTCTATATCCTGTCTCTAATTTATAACATCTATAGCTCTGTCTATCTGTATCTGTCTATTATCTATCTATCCTATCTATCATCTGTCTCTCTAATCAATACCTATAGCTATCTGTTAATCATCTATATCAAGGGTCTTCAAACTTGGCAAGTTTAAGACTTGTGGACTTCAACTCCCAGAATTCCTGAGCTAACATGACTGGAGGAAGAATTCTGGGACTTGAAGTCCACAAGCCTTAAAGCTGTCCAGTTTGAAGACCCCCTGCCCTCAGTGGACAATGCTAGAGAATCCAGGCATGGTTTCTCATTAGCTTGAAAGTGGTAACAACCCTGCTTCTGGGAGCCCAAGGTTGGAAAGGTTTTTAATATTCCATGCTAATGGAACAACATTCATTAGTTTCCATTAATTCATTATATGAGGAGTCCCTAAGACATGCAGATATGTTTTATATGTGTTGATGGTTCAAGTAAAAGGTAAACCTCTGAAGGCCCAGGAAGAGTTCTTCCCCACAAAGAAGCTAGTCAGGCATCAAAGGTAGATCTACCTTCCGTTTTTTGGTGTTCCCGTGTATTCCTGGCACAGCTTCACACAGACGACTTATTGCTTCCCTGGAAAGAAAGAAAAAAGGAAAAGGATTTACATCAAAAATGGGGGAAAGAGAAACCATCAATTAAGGATCCATGCAGCATTGAATAGAACTTCAGATTTGTCTGTCTGAGATTTCAATTATTTGTGGTCTTAGGATAATGCTTTTTATGTTTGGAGCCAGTGAGGCACATGGCCATCACTCATCAAATGCTTCCAGCTGTTCTGGACCAACTTTTCTCCAAGAGCTGAAAGCAACCTAGACAATACTTCTTCCAGTTCTGCCGCCCCAATCATCCTGGAAGGTAGGTTTGGATGAGAAAGAAAGAGTAACTGGCCCAGGGTTAGTTATCAGCTATCTATCTACCATCTATTTATCTGCAATCTATCTATTCATTCCCATCCATCCATCCATCCATCAAGCCAATCCCACGAATCCACCCACCCACTCACTCACCCATCCAACCCCATCCAACCATCTTTTTAACAGATTAACAGAGTTGGAAGGAACCTTGTAGGTCATCTAGTTCATACACACACCCCTCCCAAGCAGGAGGCCCTAAACTCATGGCCAGGGGTGGGATTCAAATTTTTTAACAACTGGTTCTGTGGGCATGGCTTAGGTAGTGGGTGTGGCTTGGTGGTGATGTGACTGGGTGAACGTGGCTTGTGGTCATGTTATTGGCTGGCATCAAGGAAGGGAGGGATACTTTCAGGAATTCTATTAGATTCTTAAATTCTGTAAGATTCTAATAATGAAAACCTCAGAATAGGTATAGAACTAGCATTCCAGTACTCCTTATCTGGATGACCTCACTAGGCTAATAGGTTTAAATACTGAATATATTTTCCTACTGCTTTTTTTTTTTTAAAAAAAAAACAAGATTATATCCATGCTTTTTTTTTTTTACTGATGCAATTATATGGATTTTATTATTACACCACTGCATCTCTCGGGTGCTCTTAGGAAAATAGCAGGATGTAAATAAGTGCATTCATTGCAATGGAGCTCAGCCTCACTCCCATCCCATAAACAGCTAATGAGAGAAAAAAGCCTTGCCAGATTCCTCAGCAATTAAATTGGCCTTTATTAAGATTTTTTTTTAAAAAAAACACCCTTCATGAAACCCATCCAGGAGCCCAGGAGAGAATGGAACAGAGAGGCTGAATGAAATCAGGGGAACGTGGAGGCAACTAACATTTGGCAAAGGATGAATACTCAAGTTGCTTCCTCCAAAACCCACTGGGTAGAATGAGTAAGGCCCAAGCAACCCCATAACAAGGATTCTCATTCTTGAGAGGATAAAAATATCAGGATGTTGGGAACCGCTATCCCGCTCAGTAATTTTCCACTCTATGCAGGGTTACAAAAATGGCTCCCAAATGATTCTCAGTATTGTCCAACAGAACATTGCTTTTCCAATAGAACATTGCTTGCTAAACACTGAAGGATATTTGTTGCCTGTTATGTTGTTCAGTCACTAAGTTGTGCCCAACTCTCTGTGACCCCATGGACACTCTGTTCTGCACTGTCTCCTGGAATTTGACCAAACTGCATCAGCAACGTTATCTAACCACCCCATCCTCTGCCGTCCTCTTCTCCTTTCACATTCAATCTTTCCCAACAAAGGGCCCAGCAGAGATTAGACTACCTGAGACTTCTCAGAAAACAACAACGGAATGAAAAACTGCTGGTGATCTTCTACCACTGCACCCTAGAGAGTATCTTAACTTACTGCACCTCTGTATGGTTTGCCACTTGCACAGAGGCAGATAGGAAAGCGCTCCAGAGGGTTAATGTCATTGCCCAGAGGATCATGGGTTGCCTTCTCCCCTCTTTGGAAGAGCTTTATAGCTCCCGCTGCCTTAAGAAAGTTCAGAACATCTTCAAAGATCCATCTCATCCTGGGAAGCCTTTTTTTTAAACTATTACCATCTGGCAGACAGTACAGGATAATAAAAACAAGGACAATTAGGCTGAAAAACAGCTTCTATCCCAGGGCAGTAACTCTATTGAATTCTACTGTATAGCGCAATATTAACAGCAATATTAGGGGTTTTCAATTCAATTGTATAGAATGTGAAGGATGTGTGTCCGTGTTTTATTTTTATAGTTATAATGTGCATTGAAGATGGTATTTAATTTCATTGTACGAGGTGCAATGACAATAAAGTAAACTAAAGTAAAGTAAACATCAGGCTCTTTCCCAAGGAATCCTCCCTTGTCATTTTGTGACCAAAGTATTTGCGCTTCAGCTTCGGGATCTGAATTCCAAGGAACAATCAAGGTTGATTTCATTCAGGATTGATTGATTTGATCTCCATGTAGTCTAAGGGGCTCTCAAGAGCCTTTCCCAACATCACAATCCTATAGCATCAAAGAATCTTTACTCTGACCAACTTGTGGTCTGTTGGTTAGATGGAATCATGCACTGCACTAAATTAAAGATGGTGTCATTCAACAGACAACGATTAGATGGATTAATCCAACGCATTAAAAGAATTAAGCATAGGTTACAAATTATACTGGTGGAAACATGCAACAGGCTAAATAACCACTAAGAACTCCCACCAGGTTCAACAGTGCAGAAGGATTTCCAGAGGGAAATCAAAAATGGAAATCAAGATGGTGGCCGCGACTACATGATTAGAGTCTCATCACTTTCTTGCTTGGAACACATGTAAAACGAGGACAGGGCTTTAATGTTGCAGCTGCCATTTTGATTTTTCTGGACTCCCTACTGTGGAAACACCAGATACAACACATGAACAGTTTGTCCTCTGCCATCTATTTTCCATAAGTTCATAACATTTCTGGTTGCCAAAATAAATAAATATTAAAACTATGATCAAATGGTCAATGAGATTTCAGAATCTAGAACAAGGGTCTTCAAACTTGGCAAGTTTAAGACTTGTGGACTTCAATTCCCAGAATTCTTGAACTAACATGACTGGAGGAGGAATTCTGGGAGTTGAAGTCCACAAGTCTTAAAGCTGTCAAGTTTGAAGACCCCATTCTAAAAGGTTTCCTAAATAAGAAACAGAAGAAACCAAACCATGAGTTTTCTCTAGCAGGAAATTTGAGTCAGCATTTTTTTCTGATTATTTTTTTAATGAAAAGCAAAAGGCAGCAGAGATGCATACTAAACTCCCCAGAAAAAGCTCATTCAATATCATATGCTGCATGCAACCATTTCATTTTTCAATGTAAATCACCTGTCATTCATAAACTGTAACGCTGCACCCATATTTTGCTAAAACAAGTGGAATAGGACACTTTACCTCAAAATGAGCAAGATCTTCAACCTATGTAGACTGTATGTTAAAATGTAGATTTAATATTTAAACCCTCTAGGACAGGGGTTTCCATACTTGGCAACTGTAAGACTTGTGGACTTCAACTCCCAGAATTTGGGAAGTTGATAACTACAAGTTTTAAAGTTGCCAAGTTTGGAGAAACCTGCTTTAGAAGAGACCAGGCTGGGGAAAAGAATTCTAGTCCGCATTTGAGGAACCGGTACCTTCTTTGTCCCCAAAACACCCAAAAAAGTCATTCGATAACTCTTGGGTATCATGGAATTTCTGCTCCCACAATGCCTCCCCCTTCCTTCCAGGATTGCGTGCCTCTTGACGGAGGAGAGTCCAGTTTTCTTCCCTGGAGAAGCCACTCAGCAACAACACTGCTTTACTTTGTTTATTGTTTTGCCAAGTTCAGTTGAGAGCAAAGAACGTGGGCTGATGTCAAGGAATAAGAATCCCCTTGAAGTTGGGCTTTTAAACCTCAGAAGTGCGGCCTTTTTACCCACAGAACAGAAAAGCGATTGTACGCAACAACAAAGTTGAATGTTTAGCCATTGAGACAAAGCTATGTGACTGAATTGGTTCTGCAATTTCAGAAGCTTCCTATCTCAAGGGATCTTCTTCTGACTATTTCCAAGGTTTAGAACCTGGGTTCACACATCATATCAAGCCAAGACTGGGGTCAGTCATCAAGCAATTTTTGCCACAGGGATTGTTTTCGGCTTGTGTGAACCTGGGCAGTGTGGTTTGAACACAACCAAAGGTTTAATCGACAACTGTTCGCTAAAAATTCATCTGTGTGCAATCTGTAAACCTGACCTATGTGTATAGTTTAGCAAGTATTTGGAACTCAGCCATTTTGGTGTGAAAGCTATTTGTTATGGCTTAGTGAGTGGCCTAATTCTAGCTCAGTTGCGTTGTCTTCAATCCCCTATTGACACTGCATCCAGTTTTGGTCACCACACTATTAAAAAAGATGTTGAATTCTAGAAAGAATGCAGAGAAGAGCAACCAGGATGATTAGGGGACTGGAGACTAAAACATACAATGAACGGTTGCAGGAACTGGGCCTGGCTAGTCTAGTGAAGAGAAGGACCAGGGGAGACAGGATAGCAGTCTTCCAATATTTGAGGGGCTGCCACAGAGAGGAGGAAGGGGTCAAGCTCTTTTCTAAAGCACCAGAAGGCCGGACAAGGAATAATGGATGGAAACTGAACAAGGAGAGATTCAACCTAGAAATAAGAAGAAATTTTCTGATAGTGAGAACAAGCAACCCATGGAACAGAAGTTGCCTTTGGAAGTTGTGGGAGCTTCATCACTGGAGGCTTTCAAGAAGAGATTGGACTGCAATTTGTCAGAAATGATATAGGGTCTCCTGCTTGGGCAGGGGGTTGGACTAGATGACGTACAAGGCCCCTTCCAACTCTGTTAATCTGTAATCTGATACTTCATGCGAAGTTATAAAATCATGAGTAAAAATCGCAAGGTTTTCACAGCACATGATGGTTTCATGTGATGTTTGAACCCGGACTTCATATAATATTCCCACAAGGTTCTCATTTGACCACAGAGAGCCCCCACCAAACAGTCATAGGATATTTACTGTGGAAACAAGGCTAACTGTTTTAAGATAACCTCACACAACAGCATGCACTCATCTCACTCCAGAAAAAGGCAGGCTGCTTACTAACGCTTGTATCTCGGGCAAAATCCAAGCACGTGG